TGTCCCTTGTGCCAGGACACTGCTGTGCCACAGCCCTGTGCCCAGGGTCACTCATGTACCTTGTGCCAGGGCACTGCTGTGCCACAGCAGCAGCTCTGAGCCCACCCTGGGGACAGCCCTGTGCCCAGGCCACTCATGTACCTTGCACCAGGACACTGCTGTGCCACAGCCCTGTGCCCAGGGTCACTCAGCACCTTGTGCCAGGGCACTGGTGTGGCACAGGGATGTCCCCTGGTCACTCATGTACCTTGTGCCAGGGCACTGCTGTGCCACAGCCCTGTGCCCAGGATCACTCAGCACCTTGTGCCAGGGGACTGGTGGGGCACAGGGATGTCCCCAGGTCACTCATGCAGCAGGACACTGCTGTGGCACAGGGAAAGGCCAGAACCCCACTTCTGGCAGGTTTATAAGGATCTCATACTAAACATGAACTACTTCCAGCAGGGCTGTGCCCTACAGGTTTGAATATTGCACCTTCTGTGTGCCTCAAGACACAAACATTATTTGAATAATACAAACAGAAAAGCTGAATACCTTTTCTACCAGTTCCTGATTTCTTCTGTACAATGCCTGCTTCTCCTCAATCCACTTCATGTCCTTGGGAAGGAAATGAACAACGCTGCAGGTGAAGCTGCAATGCTCAGCAGCAGCACAGCAGCAAGAATTTCACTGATTCCCACATACAGGGGGACAGAATAATGACAGCTGTGAAACTGTAAGGCCATTACTTCCTAAAATAACTTCCTCAGCTAAACTTGTCCATATAATTTTACAGCTCTGTAGTACACAAATGGCATTAAAACATTCCAGTGATTAAAAAACTCTTCCAGGTAAAATCTGTTTTGCGTTAAAAGAGACATTTCCAACTATGTGTTTGCTATCAAATTTCTGTTTTGCTAAATACAAATTACATACTTCTGCAGATCAGGCAAACTAAACTTTATTTGGAAGCTAATCTCTTAGTTTGAGGAATATATAAAACCCACAGACCCCAGAACATCGTTTATCAGCAAGAACAACAATAAAAGCTTAAGCTGGGAAGGCAATGATTGAATTATTTAATATTTTATTGTTCTCAAAACCACTTTCTGTTTGCTTTTTGTTGTTGTTTGTTTTTTGTGGCGTTTTGTTGATGGCTTTTTTTGCTTTGTTGTGTTTGGTTGTTGGGTTTTCCTGTCTGCAGAGGTGGCACACAAGCTGTAAGCAGCCTGGGAACCTTCCTGGTCCCCCAGCAGAGAGGTGGGGAAGGGGCTGGGGAAGCATTACCTGTCCCTGCTCAGCCAGAGCCTTCTCCAGGTCTTCTATCTGAGCCTGGGAGCGGTGAATTTCTGCTTGGAGCTGCTCACGTGTCTGTGGGATATGAGAGAGAAGTGAAAAAACCCAAAAAATCAATACAGAACAATTGAAAAATAAATTTAAAAAGAAATCAAACTTTCTCCAAAAGACCAAGCCTAATGCAGTTACAGAAAATATTTAAAACACCAAATGCTTTTAACAAATGATTTTGAAAGTTCTTTGGCAGAAGAAATTTGTATCTGAGCACAGAGTATCAAATAATCAAATGTAATCAAATCAAGTCTGGGAGACAGGATTAATGATTTTGAGATTTAACTCAAGATTAACAAAAGGGCAAAGCAGAGCTGGCTCCTCCCAGCTGGTCCTGGCAGGCTGCAGTTCCCTTTCTCCAGGAGAAGAAATGGAAACTATTATGGCACAATTCTGGGCATGCCTGGTTCCCTTCAATTTGGGGCACATTGAACTCTTAGAACAGATCCCACATTACAAACTGGCAAATTTCTTGGTGCCTTTGGTGCCTTTCCCATGACTTAGAACCTCATCTATGATTCAGTCATTTAGTGCCATATCTCTTCCATACCCATGTCTCATTTTTTACTGCAGCTTATTTAAATAGAACTGACATTCCTCTGCATGTTTTCTGGAGAACAAATGTGATTACTGTAAGTTGTTTTATTTGTTCCATACTTTCATAGAACATTTTCTTTCCTTGAACCATTTCTCTGCTACTTATCCCGTTATTTACCCTGGAAGGGATCTTGTTTCTGTGACCTGCACTGGGGCCTCCTTTGGTTCACTATGAGAAAACTAAAATCCAGTCCCTCTCCCAGCTGGGCATGCCTTGGCTCACTGGGGTTTTGTTTCCAGGTGCAATCCCTGATGTTTCAGAGTAGATGTTCATTCTGGGAACAGCTCTGGGAATGTCAATTTTCGTGCATTACACCTTGGCCCACTCTAAATGCTCCTGATAACATCTCGACAGAACAGATGTAGGAACAAATGAAGGCTCTGCAGGCACATTTCTCCTGTTAAACAGTAAATCTGTCCCCTTCCCCTGCACTCACCCTTGCAGCCATGACCCATCCTGCCAGCCCTTCAGAGAATCCTGGAATGGTTTGGGTTGGAGGGACCCCAAATCCCCCCCACCCCACCCCAGCCATGGCAGGGACACCTTCCCCTGTCCCAGCTGCTCCAGCCCCAATGTCCAGCCTGGCCTTGGGCACTGCCAGGGATCCAGGGGCAGCCCCAGCTGCTCTGGGCACCTGTGCCAGGGCCTGCCCACCCTGCCAGGAACAATTCCTCTGGAGCTCCTCGGAGCACACAACAAGCTCCTGACAAAAGCAGCACCTCGGGCCGGCTGCCCAGAGCCACGGGAGCTCTGTGAGGCAGACAGGCAGAATAGCACAGGGCACTCTGCAATTTAATTAACAGAAAAATCTCAGCTATAAGCCTTCTAAACATTTTATGAGGAATCATGTAATCTCTCAGAGCCCAGAAGGAATTAAAGACCACGCATTATATATTTAAGGCTATCTGTCCTAATTCTTTCTAGAAAAAGAGCTTAACTTTCAAGGATTTCCCATGAAAAATTCTCCCTGGATTTCCCTTAAAGTGGTCAGAGGTGAAAAGCCCGAGCTGCAGCCGTGGTGGAATCTCAGCAGCCCCTCCCAGGGAGGCTGGCAGGAGTCACCGAGCCCGGAGCTCCAGGTGAGCTGCAGAACAACCTGAGCAGGGACCCTCGGATCCCCCAGCCACCCTCCCGCTTCCAAGCCCTCATTCCATGAAATATGAGCCATGCAGACCTTAACCTCTCGCTCTGCATCCAGGGTGCCCCCGACCTGCTCCTGCAGCAGGGCGTAGGCGCGCTGCAGCGCCTGGTACTCCATGGTCAGCTGCCGAAACCGCAGCTCCGTCTCCTCCTTGGCCATGCCCTGCCAGCACAAAAACACAGGGGATCAGCTTTGTTTCCTCTGAAAAGTGACAAAATCACCGCTTTGGAAGCGCAATTTGGAAGCATGGTACCAAAACTCTCCCCTCCATCCCCTACACATCTCTCACCTCCAGGAAAGGCAATACAGAAATAAAAAGATAATCCCTGCCTTGGAAAGATAAAAGCTTACCTTCCATATAGCACACTAATGACTGCACCAGCCTTTCTTACTGGAACAGGGAAAATCACCACGTTAAAGTTAAAAATGCAGCTTTCTTTAACAACAAGAGGTTTTCAATTTGGAAAGGAAACCAAGCCTGACAGCCTCACTCAATTATTAAAACACGAATCCAGAGTTAATAGTTGTAGAAGTGGTGACAGCAACATGAAAGGAGCCCTTCATCTTCTTCACCCTCCTTACAACATCCAGTATGGAATGCTTTCATGTCAGGCTGAGAGGAATATTTCACTCAAACGGAATCACACTGCTGGGTGCATGCATCACCTTCCCACTGGCTGAACAGGGGGAGGATGGCAGCACAGGAATGGGAGCACACAGGCTCACAGCTACACAAACACAGCCAGATTTCCTGCAGCACAGCACAGCACAGCACAGCACAGCACAGCACAGCACAGCACAGCACAGCACAGCACAGCACCAGGTACCTTCCCTGATGGAGTGAGGGATTGGGCAGGTTCCCTTTAGCAATTCCACACCTGCAGTGTGAAAAGGCTGCACATCATCAGTGGCAATTTGTGTTTATTACAAGATTCTTGTTAAGCCCAGAGCTGTGTAATGGTCCAGTGATCTGACACACACTGGGGAATGCATTTCTGGGGAAGCCCTGGCAAATACTTGGAATAATCCCTTTAATTTGTATTACATTTGTGTGCTCTGCTCCCAGAGCCTCCGGGAGCCAGCCAGGAGTCAGCATTTCCCTGGAGCCCAGAGCTCCTGGGGAACATTCCCTTCTCCTTGCACAAACACAGACCTTGCTGCTCTGTGCTGAGCTTGGCTGGCCCAAATGACACATGCCAAAATCTGCAGCCAGGCGCAGAGTGAACACATCTAACAAGGGCTGTCCAATTTCTCAGTTTTTCAGACCTGCAGACCTGCCAGAAATTCAATATTCCTAGGATATGAGATTTCCAGCTTGGCTGGAAGTTGTGAAATTACTCAAGACCTAAGATTTAGAGATACTGACCAACATGCACAGCACCAAATTCAACAGAAATGTTTCATTTTGTGGTCTGAGGTGACAGAACGATAGAACAGATATGAGAGATGATATGAGAAATGATGCAACAGAGCAGGAACTTCATTCAAAGCCAGTATCAAGGGTACAAGCAAACCAAGAGGGATTTTTGAGGAGTACCTCTTCCAGGTCATCCTCAGGCGTGCAGGGGGTCTGGTCAGTCCGGTCCGTTTGGTAGGAGATGGAGGAACCATCAGACTCCAGGGAAGCCTCCTCATCATAGCCATAGAACGTCTCCACCACTGGCTTCTGACAGAGAGCAGGGTCAGGGAGCCCAGGGAGCAGCCCTGGCACCTGGACAGACTGGCCTGGGGGCTGGACAGACTGCCCTGGCACATGGACACACTGCCCTGGGGGCTGGACAGACTGGCCTGGGGGCTGGACACACTGCCCTGGCACATGGACACACTGCCCTGGGGGCTGGACACACTGCCCTGGCACATGGACACACTGCCCTGGGGGCTGGACACACTGCCCTGGCACATGGACACACTGCCCTGGCACATGGACACACTGCCCTGGCACATGGACACACTGCCCTGGCACATGGACACACTGCCCTGGCACATGGCCACCCTGCCCTGGCACATGGACACACTGCCCTGGGGGCTGGACACACTGCCCTGGCACATGGACACACTGCCCTGGGGGCTGGACACACTGCCCTGGCACATGGACACACTGCCCTGGGGGCTGGACACACTGCCCTGGCACATGGACACACTGCCCTGGCACATGGACACACTGCCCTGGCATATGGACACACTGCCCTGGCACATGGACACACTGCCCTGGCACATGGACACACTGCCCTGGCACATGGACACACTGCCCTGGCACATGGACACACTGCCCTGGCACATGGACACGGCTCCTGCAGCAGCCCCAGCTCCAGGTGCTGGCAATTCTCGCTCTGCTGCTCTTCCAGAACCAGCCCAGTCCTTCACACATTTATTTATCAAATCTTTCACCCCATGACAGAGCTCAAACGGTACCTGAAACCATCTGAATCCCTGAACTGGCACACTTGTGAGATCTCCCAGGCCCTCCCTTTTAAAATGCATTTTCCTTCCAGTTTCTCTATGGCTAAGCACTCTTTTATTTTGAATGTTCACCTCAGCACGAGGGGAGAGCTCTGCACTGAAATCTCTTTTAATCCACTGCCAGCAGCATGGTGTCCCTCCTGTCAGCACCACAGCTTTCACATGAAAAGTTAGATCTTCAAAAAGTATTCTACTTGAAGTTAATCACCACAGCAGCATGTCTATGGTTTGAAGAAATCCAGTTTTCCACTCAAAGCTGTGTTTTGTTTAAAGGAATGGTGGTAAAGAAAGATTTACTGTAAATGCTTGAAAGTCAAAGACTTCACAGATCTACAGATATTTTTAACTGATAATTTACAAAAAACATATCCAGATTTTGGCCTTTGGTTTTAATTTGCAGTGAGTAACTTTTGAAGGAGAATCCCAGAATGTGGAAGGGACACAATGTGGGAGGCTCCAAACCCCAATGTCCAGCCTGGCCTTGGGCACTGCCAGGGATCCAGGGGCAGCCCCAGCTGCTCTGGGAATTCCATCCCAGCCCCTTCCCACCCTGCCAGGAACAATTCCTGCCCCAAATCCCATCCAGCCCTGCCCTCTGGCACTGGGAGCCATTCCCTGTGTCCTGTCCCTCCATCCCTTGTCCAAAGCCCCACGCAGTGACTCTCTGGAAGGCCTGGACGTGATTTTCAGGATGACAGGAGTTATCTCCCATCGACCTCAATTAGTTATTCATAGATTCATTAGCTCCAGCCTCAATCTAATTCTGCATCCCTGGATCACAGCACGCTGGCAGCCCCTGACATTAAACCTTGCTGTGACATTTTAGTGTTAATATTTACAGTAACACCCTGCCAAGCCCTCATTAACCAACATTCCCTTTTCCCTGAGCTCTAACCATTGCTTCCCTAACCAGCAATTTTCACATGTTACTAAACTCCATCATGAATTATTCACAACATACACATGTTTGCAGGCAGCACCATTAGAAGATCATTTGGAGATGTGTTAATTCATAAAATGTGTCTCCTCTTAAGACAACCACGTCCCACCAAAGTCCCACAGGGTAAATGCAGAGCATGAAAAGGCTCAGAATGCTCCATGCAAACAGGACCCCTGTCCCCCTCCTTAAATATCCCAAACCAGTCTGGGAATGTCCTTGAAGCACAGCACCCAAGTTTAAGTTTAGAACCCATGTGCAGACCCTTAAGGGGAACCCTGCCTGAGCACCCCAGCATGTCACCACAGAAGGTTTTGTTTTTTACCTTAGGAATTCTTGTCATTTTTTTCCTTTGCTTCCTGAACCTTAGCAGCTTATCCCGTTCCTGCAAGAGTCAGGGACACGTGTTGGCTGTTTGCAGAGAGCAGTTATTCCAATCAACCACGGCAGTACAAGGAAGCAGCAGACAGGAATTCCCTGCTGGCCACTGTCCCACACTGTCACCAGCCCGGGGTGGGTCACTCCATCTTTCAGGCTTGCCACAGACAGCTGGAAATTGCTCTTTATGTCCATGGAAATCAAACTAAAAGCAAGCTGGTGATCAGCTTTGTGCTGAGAGTTTGTGTGTGCCCTTGGAGCTGCCCCAGGGGTGACCATGGCACTGCAGCCCTGGCTCTGGTGGCCCTGGAAGCTGCACACACCCAACAGCCCCACTGCTCACGTTCCAGGGCCTCTGAACTCGGCACCTGCAGGCTCAGCTCCTTCTCTCAGGACCTGCAGGTTCCCCGTGCCTCTGGAGTAAGGTTTGAGTATTTACTGCTGCCAACAGTTTTTCCAGTTGGAGGAAATAATAGAATAATTAAATTCCAGGTCGGAGGGATGTTAAATATCACCTCCTTCCCTCCCAGCCATGGCAGGGACACCTTCCCCTGTCCCAGCTGCTCCAGCCCCAATGTCCAGCCTGGCCTTGGGCACTGCCAGGGATCCAGGGGCAGCCCCAGCTGCTCTGGGCACCTGTGCCAGGGCCTGCCCACCCTGCCAGGGAAGAATTTCTTCCTCCTTATGGAGTTATGTTGATTTTTTACACATTTTTTACTCAGAAAAACGTCTCTGTTCTGGACTTGTGAAACCCAGGACTGCAGAGAGGGAAGCTCTGAGGGGACCCCCTGAGCTGTTTCATTTTAGCTGCTGGGCACAGGGCTGTGGTGGCACTGGGGACACCGACACGTGCTGCTGCCTGTGGCCCTTCCCAAGGCCAGCAGCAGGACAATCGAACTCTGCCTGCTGATGGGAACAGCACAGCCCATCAATATCCATCCCTGCTGTAACCCCACAGCACAGGCATGGGGCAAGGGGCAAGGGCAGGGCTGGCCATGACACAAAGCCAGGGGTAGCCAGAGTGAAAAAATGCAGTTCCAAGGTGACAGAGCTGCCCTGGAGATGGGGACACTTGCTCCTGGCCATCAGGGAAGGTGATGGGATTAAAGCCTTCCCACTATCACTGTGCTTTTCTCAGGTGAGCAACTGCTGGTAAAAAATCTGCTCTGAGGAAACCCCTGGGTCAGCTCACTGCTGAGCACAGATGGAAGGGAGAATAAGTATTATTGTACCCTGCCCGCTTTCCATGAACAGAAATTTAAAGCGTGTACAGATGAGGAGGAAGTTAACATCACTCTTACCATGACACTCTTCACATAGCCAGCAGTCTCCAGGGTCTAATGAAAAAGAATGAAATAATGTCAGTAACTGGACAGGCTTAAAAAGAAAGGGAAGAAATAAAAGCTATTTTCTAGAGAAGTATCATGATTTTGGTGTTTACTGTTTCCAAGGGCTGGGAACATGGTTAGAATGAAGCAAATCCCAGGAGTGCAGAGCACCCCCTGCACACAGGAATGAATCTTCAGCCCTGCTGGTGTCTGCAGCTGAAGGAGCTCGGGCAGTTTCCCTCCCAGATCTGGCCACCAGCACATGTAAGGACATGGTTCTCTCATGCCAGGCCAGTGCAGATTGAAAGGGTTTTCCCAAGCACCACACCACAGATAATTTATATTACTGCTAAGCACAGAAATGCCTGCCAGGTTCCCCTGCTCCCAGAGCCCCCTCAGCTCCAGAGCCTCGGGTACCTTCCTTGGGGTCACTCTCACGTCAGAGCAGCACCTCCCATCGTACCTTGGAGAGCTCATCAATGATGTTTTGCTGCTCAATAACTTGTAGTCTCAGGAAATCCACTTCCCTTTCTTCCTGGCTGTGGTCAAGGTCATTTAGGGAGCTTGGTCTCCTTATTGCTCCAGTTCTTTGCCTCTAGAATCCAAAAACCACAAGGCAGAAAAGAAAATGTTCAGGAGGCTTTGCCAGGGACTTGTCTGGCCTTTCCCTTTACAGCAAGAGGAGCATCTCTCTAATGCTTGCCCTGGCAGCTCTCCTGCTCCCTTTTTGCTGAGCCTCACATCCGGGCTCCAAACGTGCCAGATGGTCCTGCTCCCCCAGCTGGAAAAAGGGGCAGAGTCCCAAGGGCAGCTTTCCCAGGGACTGTGAGGTGGCTCTGGCAGGAGAGCTGAAGGTGAATTGTACAACACCAGATCAGTTTGGGTCGGAAGGGACCTTGCCAGAATGGAACAGTTTCCCATGGAACCTGCAAGTGTGGGCCAGTGCCTGCCTCCCTCAGCCTGCCCATCCCCAGCCCCAGCCCCATCTCCAGCCCCAGCTCCA